CCTGTAATTCCGCAAGGCGTACCTGAAGGGTTTCTACTTCCTTTTGGGCTGCCACCCTTTCCTCTTCGGGACGAGTTTGGTCGTTGATTACCTCCTGCTGCCGCTCTATTTGCCCCTCCAGGTCTTCAGTGGCCTGATCTCTTTGCCTGATTTGCTCTTCTTTGGTGTTAATTTCGGCAACCAACTGCCGCCGTTCCTCCAAAGAGCCGGCTATGGTGATATGCAAGTTTTTAGCTTCCTCCTTGCTCATATCCAGGTCTTGCAGGGCAAGATCGAAGGCCTTTTGGGCTTGGTCCCTATCGCGCAGGGCATTGTCTCTTTGTTCTCTCATTTTTATCATTTGCTGATTTTTGTCGTCAAGTTCTCTCTTTTTAGCATCGAGGAGCAGTTTGCTCTGTCTCATGTAATCTGCCTCCCTTTCCTCCAACGTTTCTTGTAGCCCCTCGACGCGTTTTTCTAACGCAACCTTTTCATTCAGGGTTGCCAACCTTTCTAACGCACTTCGGGTAGCTAGTTGAAAGCCTTTTAATCTTGAGACGTCACCCCTAACGTCACCATTCTCATCAAAGAGGGGTTGCGGTTTCGTCCAGCGGTCTTTGTCAGGAAATCTCAGGTCTTGGACACTTATGAGGACTTTGTTTCTGCGTTCTGTGAGCCTTACGTCGTCAGCCTCGAAGCGGGAATAGCGCTGCCTTAGCTCTTGCGTTGTCCACTCTACGGTTTCCCGAGTGGTTGCTTCGTCTATGTTTTGAAGTTCCAAGTACTCAGGGACGGGGCCGCGGTTCTTTGATTGCCACATGCGATTCAAGGCTGCCTTGAAGCTTCTCCACCTACTACCATACTTGCTGAAGAGCTGAAGACTCCGAAAGGCAACGGGGTATTGTCTGAGGATCAGCGCCGCCTCTTAAACGGCTACGAGGAAAATGAATTTAAGGTGCTGATAAGCAACGACTACGACAGCATTTGCAGAGCCATCGTGGAGTATGCGCGTGGAATTCGTCTACCTTGTAGGTGGTGCTGTAAGCGCTTTAGGAACACAGACACTTTAAAGACGCACTTAAAGATATTTCATAGAATATATGATC